ATCGAGGTGATAGAGAATTTTTTTCTACTTTAGGCGCCATTCTTCGTTTTCTGTTAAAATTTTACTTCTTTTAGTTATTGTAAAAAAACTGCTAAGCATTTTGGGCAAATTTTGGTAAGTTAGGCAACCCAAAATATTAGGTGAGGCGGTAAGCTGTAATTTATGGCCCACGCAATAGAGCACCTTTTAAATACCTTAAGCTTATTTGACCACCCTTTGAAGTACCTGACAATAGCATTAAGAAGGATATAGGCGAGTAAAATTTTTACAGAAATATGATGACATTTCTACATTGTTGTTTTGATTTGATTCCCCTTTTTAATTAAATGAATGATAAATGGAATTTTATTATAGGAATACATTCAAGCTATCTTAGGGATGTAGGATATGTCTATGACAATATTCCATAATTAAGCAATATGACAATATGTGCAGTAAAGCAAATAAAACTGCAGCTATAAATTACTACAATTCCTAAGAGAGGAGTACTTATACTGCATAAATGGAAACGGGTACATACAAACTGGCTGACGCAGTGCTTGAAATGTAATATTTATTTATTTATTTTTTATTTTATTTTATTTTTTCCAATGGGGTTAGTGGGTTACACCCAATTACAGGAAAAATATAAATGGAAACTGCACAAAATTAATAATTAAAAATTAACAATTAACAATTACAAGAAAGTAAAACTAAAAAATTGGTCTAAAGAGTTTAGACAGTACTTCCCTCGCTGTCGGAAACTTGACGACTGCATGCCTATTGTGTTTTTTTTTCTCATTACATTTTTGTAGTGGGAATTAAAAAAAAAATTGTGATGACGTCATCAACATTTTTGCAAGGACACGTATATCAGTTGGGATAGATGCAGTGTAATACTAAGAATAAAATTATTGTATTCCCAAATTTTCGGGAAAATGAATTGGGTCGTTTTGAATATTGATTTCTTATAATCAATAAAATAACGAAACAATTTACTCACGTATACGGCGCCGGTGTGTAATATCTAGAGAGCAGATTTCTGTCGGGCTAGGCAAGGCCAAACTCGGTACGGCTCGTACGGGATGCGAATTCATTGCGGTTGCGGACTGCACTTCGTTTATTTGAGATTAGAATAACGCTGTTTCGTTGCACTCTGCTGTTAATTCCCGTTCTCATTTACTTAGCCGTTTGATTAATAAATCGTTAATTATATTTATGGAATTAGTACCGATTAAATTCAGTGATTATCTATCACCCGGCGATCCAGCACGTCCCCCCCTATAATCGTGACGTAGCCCGACAGAAATCCGCTGTCTAGTAATATGAGGGGCAACTGAAAATCGTTTATGTATAAACATTCTTAATTTAAGATGACAAGCGTAACAGCATACGTGAGAGTCAAACAGAGAAACTGTAAACAAAACGACCATCGGTTTTATTGCTTCGACTTCCGCTTATTATATAAAACATTGGGTTTTATTTTAATTCTTGACGGTGAAATTCACAATTGGTTGATTATAAACATGTCTATTTCACATTCGCGGAACCAAGTGAGCGCATAAAACAAATGCAGGTCTGTAATGTTAAAGTCGATGTAAATAAGCGTGCTACCCTTATGTTTCAACCGAGTTTTTCCTTTAACAAATTTTGTGTCTACCAAATTGGGTTGGTTGGGGTGTAATACTAATAATAAGTGTTGCCTTTAATTTAATCAATAAAATAAATTGACTTCATTAATTTTTTTGAACCACCTCTTAAGAAAATCTAAAAAATATGAATGGAATGATAAATCACAAGTACAAACTCATCATATTTTTTGCATTTTAGATAGGATTTATTCAGCAAAATTTAAGGGTGACGTCATCAATTTTTTTAGGAGGGATGAACAAATACATTTTGAACAAAAGTTTACCATGCTTATAATAACTTTAAAATATTCCCAAGATTTCAAAGCATTCGGTTTTGTAATTCCCGATTAAATCGATAAAATAAATTCACGCCTTCATTAATTTTTTTGAGTCACCCTGCATATGCAAATCCAAAAATATGAATGGAATGATAAATCACAAGTACAGACTCATCATATTTTGTACATTTTAGATACGATTTATTCGGCAAACTTTTGAGCTGACGTTATCAGTTTTTTGTAGAAGATAACCAAATATATTTTGACTAAAAATTTATTATGCTCTTTATAACCTTAAAACATCTGCAAGATTTCAAAGCATTCGGTTTTGTAGTTCCTGATTAAATCAATAAAATGCATTTACGCATTCATTAATTTTTTTGAGTCACCCTGTATATGCAAATCGAAAAAATTTGAATGGAATGATAAATCACAAGAAGAGACTCACCATATTTTGTACATTTTAGATAGGATTTATTCAGCAAAATTTTGTGGTGACGTCATAAATTTTTTAGGGGGGACGACCAAATACATTTTGATCAAAAATTTACCATGCTTATGATAATTTTAAAATATCTTCAAGATTTCGAAGCATTCGGTTTTGTAGTTCCTGAGTAAATCAGTAAAATAAATTTACGCTTTCATTTATTTTTTTAAATCACCCTGTATATGCAAATCCAAAAAATATGAATGGAGTGATAGATCACAAGTAGAGATTGATCATATTTTGTACATTTTAGATATGATTTATTCGGCAAATTTTCGAGCTGACGTCATCAAGTTTTTAGAGGGGATAAGCAAATATATTTTGACTAAACATTTATTATGCTCTTTATGACCTTAAAACATCTGCAAGATTTCAGAGCATTCGGTTTTGTAGTTCCTGATTAAATCAATAAAATATATTTACGCATTCATTAATTTTTTTGAGTCACCCTGTATATGCAAATCCAAAAAATATGAATGGAGTGATAGATCACAAGTACAGACTCATCATATTTTGTACATTTTATATATGATTTATTCCGCAAACTTTTGAGCTGACGTCATCAATTTTTTGGAGGGGATAAGCAAATATTTTTTGACTAAAGATTTATGATGCTCTTTATAGCCTTAAAACATCTGCAACATTTCAAAGCATTCTGGTTAGCAGATTAAAAATTAAATTTCAAAATGTTGTTTTATAATTTTGATTTTTTTTCCAAAAATCTGGACGTTTCGGGTGAAAAGTCGATTCGGAGTTGTAAACTACATGTGTAGGACTATGTTATTTTATACAATTGAAAACCCATTTACTATGTACAATTTTGAAGTGACGTCATCGCATTAGTGGTGGGGATGATTAGACAAATTTTGGTTAGCGTTTTACCATCTACATGATATTCTTAATATAAGTACAAAATTTCACAACAATCGGTCGAGTACTTTCGGAGATTATCTGTCTAATAAATCCGGGACGGCAGACGGACAGACGGACAGACGGACGGACAGACGGACAGACAGACGGAAATGGGAGATCTATTTCTTCGTCTTCTAGGGGTCATGAAAGATAGAGAAAACGTAAAAGTAGAGAGTCGGCCGACGGACTCGATTACCATACTTCCTTTGCTTACGCTCGGGAAGTAAAAGAAAAGAAAATTCTATCCATATAATGATTGCTTAACACAACTAACAATTTTGTTAATCGAGTCGAAATTTATATCGCATAAGTGTGAAATTTGATTGAAATAACTACACATAATACTAACTGGAGATCTTCTTAAAACGTTAGTTCTGTCAGCAGTACAATAAAATACGTGATTATGGCGTGCATTAATTCTAGGTACAAGAAAATTTAAATAGTGAAGCAATTCAGGGCAGTCTACTTGATTTCTAACTAAAAAAAACAAAAATTTAATGTCGGGAATATACGATAGGGGGTTTTTGCGCTAAGGAGTAAATCTTCGCAGCTTCTTTCCTCCTGCGAGGGGGTGCCGTGGTAGCCCCTCCAAAACAATTTTGTCTATTATTTCTTGCGTTCTCGAATCACACGTAGTGTATGCTCACTTCTATGAAAGAACGTCTTCCCGCCACTTTTCAAAAAAAAAAAAACACAACGTAGGTTCCCATTTGTTAGACGATCACAGCCAAGGCCAAATTTTGAAATTTTGAATTTTTCGCGGGTCTTTCAAACTTTTTCAAGGTAGTAAAGGCGGGTAGTTTGGCTTATCACAAGGGGAAGTGGGTGATGTCACATTTCAAATGATACGATGTAAAAATGTCCGATTGTCAGAATAGAGAATAATAGCACACGAATTTGTATGCTGTAATTCTAGAATCTCAAAAGTCTTTTATTAATAATCTGATCAATGCATAGCATTTACTTAGTCTTCCGTAACTATAGAAGTTGTTGTGAAGGGGTTGTGGACTTAGGACACATATATTTCAATTTCCCGTTTATTTCTCTGCTGACATAGCAAAACTTACATGACAACTTTACATGGCCCTAATCACATGGCAATTTCGTCTCTATGTGTTAGTGAGTGAGATGTTAGTGTGACGACCTACGTGTTTACTCCCACTTGGCGAAAGATCGTACTTTCGCGCTATGTATTTGCAAATTTAGAGGAACGCTGCCGTTATCCGCGAAAGTGGCGACGCCACTACAGGCAGGTGTAAGTAGCTGTTTCCCTCCACTGGTTGGTTTCCCCCAAATAGCAGTTAATGCGTTTTACCTTTATTGAGAGTTTCATAATTTTTTTTATTTAGCTTAAAAAAACATTTATCGTCTTATTTAGCCTCTTATTTAGTAAATTGGTCGAAGGTTATTTCGATAGAACTTCCCTCGCCCCTGAAGTACAATAAGTCATATCCAGCTTTTTCCAAAAATTACAAAATTTAATTTTTTTATGAGAATCCGTAAATGTTAAAACAAAGATATGTATGCAATGTTAAAGTTAGTATGACGGAACAGGCTATGCGTGTGTTTCAAATGAGTTTTTTCTTTACAAAATTTTGTGATGACGTCATCAACCATTTTTCAAAGGATATGTATTGTGACCGGGTTTTTCTTTCCGGTGCGGGGGTAATCAGTTGGAGACGGTAATTTCCAGAACTTCGAAGAAAACACTAATGATACAAGAATATTTATTTAACACACACTCATACAACCATAAGCAACTCAAGCATGCAATCTAAGTACAAACGGTGGACGGCGGTTATTTCCGCCTTATACACATCTACAAACATACTTTTGACTTTTTCTCCTTCTATGATTTAGAAGTTAAAGTTTGAACGGTTCATATATATTTAGGTAAATAATTAAATTATAGAAAGACAAGTTTATTTTTAAGTTTATTAGTCTGTGTATAGAATACAACAAAAGCGAAAGGCCTTGTTATCAATATTCTTAAACTTATTTCATACTCATCAGCAATAATAAAATAATATATACACATTTTATCGGTACCACTCCTCCCTTATTATGTTCTATTATAACTGAACTGTAAGCGAGGAAAGATAAGCAGCCCGCATAGTTTAGTAGTAAGGCGTAGGTTCGACTTCCACTGTGGCTGTAGCTTTTTTTCTTGCTTACCACGCAACCAATAACATTAAAATATATATCTATAAAATAATCCCTCAACACGTAACGGTACAAGAAGAACCGGTTATATATATATCTATAAAATAAATAAATATGTGTCTGCTCAAAATTTTGTTGTTAGGCTTCAAATAGAAATAAAATTAATACAAAAGCACTACATTCAAAACTAATCTGGTGGGCGCTGAGTTTAACGCAATTGAAGTTCATTGTTAAAAAAAAAACAACGTGGAACAAATCGCCCAGGCTAGATAAATTAACTCATATTTTATGTCTCTTGTTCATGTAAATAACTTAAAGCTAGTACTAAATACATGGGCAAAAATTCAGTAGTTTCAAAGGCTGCATTTGAAAAACGGAAGTCATGTTTAGAGATATAAATATATATAAATATTCATTGAAACACTGGTTAAGCTAGGTAACTCACCCATCAATTACAAAGTTGTAAAAATATATATATAAAAAAAATTAGCAAGCACCGACTTCAAAAACCAATCGATTCATTTCACCCTAAACTATATAATTTATCACATATGTATCACAAGTATTACACTGACGCAGTTTTTACCAAGTTGCCTTTCAGTGAATTAAAACATTGCATAGCAATGTATTTGGTAATTTTTTATTCAAATATTTTTTAATTTTTTTCAAAAATAGTCAACAGAATTTTTAAGCTTCTGTTTTCATTTGAAAACATTACCGTTATGAGTAATGTGCTTACGATAATTAAGATGCTTTAGTTGTTTATTGGTAAAGGGGAAAGAAAATTTTATCTATGATTACGTAAACGGTCTTTGTCCAACAAAGTTCAGTGAATAAAATATGAGGTCAACAATTTTTCCCTGAATTTAGAATGAACAATAATAATAAAAAAAATGCACAATTTATTTGCGAAAGTTATACTACTTCATCTCTCTAGGAAACAATATACAATTTTTTTTGTGTACGAAGATTCAAAAATTCCAAACATACTTCTATTGTTACTGTTTTTATGTTCGTTTCGAAATAATTAAAAAGGACTCCAATATTCGGTTGTTAACGTTTAGGGGTGCTGTAAAAGTATTCACCGAAACAGCTTGGTTTTTATGACCTAGAGGACCTAGAATCACCGTGTGTCTCGGTTTATATACTTTTATTAAGATTTGCAACCAATCATGCTGTGAAGTGTTTCAGACGTTAAATATCGAATATTGTAGTCATTTTTACTAATTTATAGAGGGATTTTACAATTGTTTTGGCCATTGTTCAAAAAAGTTCAACTAATAATGTAGTAAAATGACTTTTTTAATGAGCATGGATTTAAATAAACATGATTTCAAGAATTTCTGGTAGATACTCGTATTTCATTTTGAATTTAGTCGTCGGGTGCTACAGGGTGCAAGTTGAATTATACCCATTACAACGGTTAAGTAAGGTACATCATTTACTGACCCCAATGAGTTTAACTAGCAAAAAACAAGTCGAAATATACTCCAGAACTGATAAAATTCGACCAAAATATTATTTCTAGCTAAAATTTGACATTCATGAATAGGATTTACAAATTCTTCAAAATCACCAAGATCAATAGTAAGTAGTAATAAATAAATACAACTTTGATTGTATTGCTGCCTTTAAATTTCGTTCTTTATTGCCTGCACAAAAGGTGTAGCGAAATTTTCAGTAAGCGAGATTTTTTAAATATTGAAGATTCTGAAGTTGAACAGCGGCAAAGTTGTAAAAAACAATTTTTGTAAGGAACTATTTGCTGTAACAAACATTTTTAAACTCAAGCGATGCCTCTAACACCAACCGCAAATTATATTTCGCAGTTTTGATTGTTTGCGACACAACTTGATTTTAAAAATACTCAATTAGAATAAAATTCCTTTAATTGATTAGCTTTATTGTTCATAAATAATTTCAGAATATCAACAACTCTGTTTTAGATCAATTTCAAAATTTTCAGTAATAAATGATCTCGTTTATTGAAAATTTCGACGCACGTTTCGCGCACATAATAAAGATTTTTTTTTAAGAAATTTAAAGATATGAATACAATCACCAATGCATTGTGTACAATTGTTAAACACGCAGGTAAAACTAGGAAATTTTAAAATATGACGTAATAAATAACAAAAAAAGAGTAGAATTAAAGAAAAAATTCGAATTACAATAAAAGTTTAAAAACAAAAATCGCATTTTAACATAAATATATGCACTTAAAAAAGTCAGTACCTCAAAAAATTGACAAAATTTCACAAAATCGTTATAATTTGCTCTGCAAACATTCTCGGAAATTTAGTTGAGATATAATTGGTTGTGCGGCAAGTTTATTTTCCAAATAGCAAACTTCTCAAATCTGAGTTCCCAAGTTTTTACACAGATCAATTCATTCGATGATGACATGCAGTTTAGGAACAAAATTTTTTGGAAAAAGGACCCCCATTTTGCTGTTTCCAAGAAAGTCGTTTAAAATTGTTTGTTCTAGTGCTGGCTAATTTCCACAAAGAGAAAGCAAACACACACAAAAAAAAAACATTTGTACAAAAAACAAGTAGGTAATGTTTACAATAAAAACCAGAAGCTTTGGAACCGGTAATTTCTGTGGAGATATTTTTGTGTCGAATTCCACAGAAAATAATCTAACAATTCTTTAAGTACTAGTGTATAAATCTTTGGCTTCTTTTATAAAAAAAAATCACAAACAACGTGCTTGCTTGAACTTACATTTTAGAACACAACTAATATAATGAACTATAAATTCTTATTCTCGAAGATACTGATAGATTGGATATTTAATTATTATTATTTATGACTTATACAACCCACCATTTGTCGATCATCTCTAAACCGCGCAGTTCTGCAGAAGCAAATTGCTATGTCAACAGAATTGTATTCAAGCATTTACCCACATTGTGTTCTTGGTCCCACAAACCTAGGTTTCTTCGGCAACGGTTAGGAATATATCTTCCAATGAAATTTGGTTCACTGCATAATCCTCTACTTGTTCTTTATACTTATCCTTCATTGTCTGTAAGTCGGAAAACAATCTACTCAACCTTGGGTTACCATCAACGACTTCATAAGTTAACGTATTCTGCATATAAAAAATTATTAATCTCGATTTTTTTTTAATAAAATAAAATCTTACAGCGTATTCCTCTTTAAGCCGAGCGTTTAATTTTTCTGACATGTGTTCTTTGATTTCTTCTGAGTTGTTTGTTTCACTTGTAAGTGTCACAACGATTTTAAATCCTTTTTGGTATTTATTTTTCAGATGTAAAAGACTCCCTTGATCTTTAATTTCACCACTTTTCATAATTGCTATTCTGTAAAGAAAATTCTAGTTTGAAAGTTTACGACTTCAGAAGTAAATACGCACTCATCACACAAATTTTCACATTCTTCCATGCTATGAGAGCAAAGCAAAAAAGATGTCCCTTTCATTTGCTTGAACAACGATAATACACCCCAAAATTTGCGTCGACTTGCTGGATCGACACCACTTGTGGGTTCATCGAGGCAAATGACTTTAGGAGATCCTAAAAACGCTATACAAGAGCTTAGTTTTCTTTTGTTTCCTCCGCTGTACTCAGAACACGGTTTATCAGCGTAAGAATTTAAACCTTAAATAATAAATAAATAAATAATTAAACGTAACAAATACAGTATTTTTACCAAAAGAAGTCAATAAACTGTCAGTTATTTTGTTTACGTCTTCACCCGAGTAACCTTTTAAGTATGCCATAACACGTATTAGTTCTCGTCCAGTTAGAAAATAATTCAAACAATCTTCTTGAGGACAATAACCAATTTTTTGACAGTACTAATAGAAATACAATTACACAAAGTAACGAATGGGTTTTATCATAAAGACTATATTTCCTTACCTCTGGTTGGTTTATCGTTATTGCTTTTTCTTTGCTTTGCGAGTTTAAAGCAATACTGCCGTCATCGAAAAATAAATTTTTCGTTAGCATGCGGAATGTGGTAGACTTTCCAGCACCGTTGACACCGAGTAATCCAAAACATTTATTATTTTTTAAATAAAATTTTAAGTTCTTCACTATAGTTTTGTTTCCAAATGTTTTAGTTAAATTTGTAACTTGAAGAGATGCATCTTCGTTGAAGTCTTCATCGCTTTTACTATTTTCGTGGCGGTTATTAATTATTTTAAATGAGCGTGGATATTTCATGATATGCATAATTTTTTTGTAAGGTTCACTGCTCATGAAAACTAGAAGGGCAAAATATACAACAAATGCCACGAGCATTATTGCTAGATCATTCCCAATTCCCAACTGTTCATTTCGAAAATAATTTTGGTATTTGTGACAAGAAGTTGTTTCTTCTGAAACACAAAAGAACACAGTTGTTGAAAAAAATCACGTTCATAAATCGTCTTTGACACAACTATTTTTAATGGTTAGATTTAACTGAATACAGAATGCATGTATACCGATTTCTTTACAAAAACGGTACCTTTTTAGCTGCACAAATAGTTATTTAGTAAGAAAAACATACCACTGCAGCAGGGATTTGGATCGGTGTTACAAATATGACTTCGTTTTCTAGGGTCCATGTATTTCCAGTTGAAATTTTCAACGTATTTCTTCGCAAACTTAACATTTATGTAACTCATAGCAAATTGTGGACTTATTGCTACTAACATGGGTGTTAAGCACTTTGCAATGTTAATATAATACTCTTGTTGCGAAAATTCCATTGCAACGATGATTATCGACGGAACAATACCGAAAAAAATTCCCAACATAAGAAGAAGGGCAAAACCTCCAGTTACTGTTTTTCGGAAACTAAATAGATAGGTAAATGGCAAAGCCACTATGATGTAAGTTCCATATATCGTAAACATTGCCGCTGAAAAAAAAAATAGAAACTCAATGGTAACTGCTAACATTTCAAAATTATAAGTGTAATTACCACTAATACTTACCGATCTCTGCTTTCTGGAAAGCATGTCCGTTATAAAGAAGTTGATTTATTAATAACAAAAAAATACACAGTGTCGCCATCGGAAGCACTGAAAATAATACATCAAAGACAACATTTATTAACCAATAGAAATATGTTTGAATTCCTGCAATCGTTTGAATCTTTATAAAATCTGTTGATACTTCTGTATGGGGAAATACGATAAAATTGCTCACGAAGAAAAACATGCCTACAAATTAAAACGTATCATCATAAATTCACATGAACAGATCATCTTACTTATAGGAATTAAGATTAACCACACACTTGCAACGTTTACGAGGGATAATTCTGAAGGTGCATCTTGAGAGTACAGTGGTTTCAGAGGAGTGTTACGTGTAGTAATTGAAAAACTACCACCAAGCGACGCTTTAGCAATGGCATTCATTGCAAGATTGATGGAAATAGGTATCCCATGCACTGTTTCAGATGAATACATGGCATTTACAATTACTCCTTTTCCGTCTGAAGTACTGTTGAATTCAATTGCTGTGATCATGTGCTTCTTGTAAAATGCTATGTTTTTGACGCCTTCTTTTATTATATCTTAAAATAAGATAAAACAAATTTTAATTTCTGTCGCCGATCCTTCAGAATGTTCTTTAATTCGAAATCAAAATAAATTTAAACAATCAATAAAACCGTTAAGATGGGTAAGCGCAGTTCTGGATTACTTTTACTTAAGTAAGGTACACAAGCATGTTGAATAATTTTGCACAAAAATGAAAATATGAAAATAGAATTGAGTAACACACGTACCACCGGAAATATCTTCACTGTACACAGCTTCTGCCTTTTCATCGATTACAGATTTTTTATAGTAATTTCTCAAGTTATTGGTTAAAGGATCTGAAGACTTTTCACCACCATAGTATACTTTGGGTTTTCCATATACTTGCAATGAATAGTTCATTGGTGGACCACCACTATCATAACTGTCTGAATCTGACATTCCTAACCAAATCGCCAATAAGAAAATGATGATGGAAACAAGAATCTGAAATATTAAACAAACATTGCTTGTATTATTTGTTAAATCTGTATAAAAATGTCTACAGCCGGTTACTTACAAGTGGCTACAATTGAGTATATTATAAAACGAATTGTTTTTGTTCTGCAGAAATTAAATACAAATACTCTTGCATTTACTGATTATTTTAAATTTTTTAACAGAATATAAAACATTCAGTTTGTAAACCTTTTCAAGAAAATTGAATATCATGAAGATTGGCATTTACGAGTCAATGAATAGAAAAAAAAATGCATGAGATTTTATTGAATGCCCTATGCGAATACTTAGTGGCTGGCCAATTATATCTAATAATGGCTCAAAGCATACGGTTTTAGGTGTTCCAAAATGAAATGGTATGAATGCTACCTAGTATCGTACTGATTTCTCAATATAATGACCAAAATTAATGTAAATACTTACTGCTGGGATAAACCAGTAGAACTTTTTCTGAAAAAAGTACCAACGCTTTTTCATTAGTGCTGAAAATTGATTTCCAGTGAGCAATATACCCGGCGAATTTGTTTCCCAAGCTGTAATAAAAAGAAACACTGACAAAATTCTAATGTGGTGTTGCATAATACAATACATAATACACATTTATTCGTATCCCATATGATTAAGCATTACTGGTAGATATAGTGTAAAAAAGTTATAACAGACTGAATGTTTAATCTCATAATTTAATATATATTTGAGGTTAATAAAATGTGCTCTCAACGACGTTTTTTTTTTCTTTAAGTATATTAAATAAATAAGTAAATTGAAGAAAAAAAACTAAACATGTACATTAAAAAATACACAGAAATTCAATAAAAAAAAGACAATCACTTTTTGTAAATATTAATAGCTAAATCATATATGGGTTGAATACCAAACTAAATTACCCAATATAAAGTTCGCCAAATGAAAACTATTATCATTGTTTAAGTATATTATAGTTGGACAACCTATCCGGAGAATCACTTTCCCATGTAGAAAAGAATGAATATATATTTTACATCTCACTCGCTTCACTATGAAGTGGCGGTACCTTACGAAAGGGGGTAAAAATAGTCTGTAAGCACGTGATGTCGATAAGGTAGTAAAATGACGTATTAGTCAGTCCGTTGTACGGGGAATAGTCGAGAAATCGAAAAATCCAGAACTCGAAAAGTCGAAATACAAAAAAATACCAAAACTCAAATATCGAAAAATTGAAGAATCGAAAAACTGAAAAATCACAAAATTGAACGAAATATCCAAAAATGTGTAAATTAAAAAATTGAGAAATCGAAAAGTCAAAAAAGCAAAGTCGAAAAATCGCAAACTTAAAAAATCGAAAAACTGATAAATTAAAAACTTGAAAAATCGATAAATTGAAGAACTGAAGAACTGAAAGATCGGAACTTTGGGAAATGGAGAAATGGGAAAATAAAAAATAGATTAATTGAGAAATCCGAAAACTGAATATTCAGAAATGTCACCAATTTGAAAAATTAAAATATAGTAAAATTGAAAAATGGAAAAATCCAAACATCAAAAAATCAAAAAAAAAACTGAAAAGTCGACAAATCGAAACTTCAGAATTTAAAAAATCGAAAAATTGAAAAATCGGATAACTAAAAAATCCAAACATTGAAAAATTGGAAAATCGAGAAATTCAAAAGCCCAAATGTTAAAAATCGAAAAACTCCGAAATCTAAAAATCGAAACATCGAAAAATTCAAAAACTGAGACATCGAGAAATCGAAAAATCAGAGGATCGAAAGATCGAGGAGTCGGAAGCCGAAAAGTTAAAAATTAAAAAATTGATAAATCGAGAAATCAAAAAACTGGAAAATCGAAAGTTTAAAAATTCGAAAAATTGAAATATAGAAAACTGAAAACTCGAGATATCGAAAAACCTAGAATTTTAGAAATTGAAATATTGAAACATCGAAAAGTTGAGAAATCGAAGAATAAAACAGTCGAAAAATTGAAAAATCTAAAGTTTAAAAAACGCAAAATTGAAAATCCAAAAATTAAAAATCGAAGAATCGAATAACTGAAAAATCGAAACTTTGAGAAGTGGGAAAATCAAAAATAGATTGATTGAGAAATCGAAAAACTGAAAATTTAGCAACGTCAAAAATTGAAAAATTTAAAACATTGAACTATTAAAATATCGCAAAATTCAGGTATCTAGAAATCCAAACATAAAAAAAGCAAAAAAATAAAAATTCGAAAATTTAAAAATCGAAAAACTGAAAAGTGGACAAATCGAGAATTCGAAACTCCAGAATTTAAAAAATGGAAAAATTGAAAAGTCGGATCACTAAAAAATCCAAACATTAAAAAATTGGAAAATCGAGAAATTCAAAAGCCCAAATGTAAAAAATCGAAAAATCAGAGGATCGAAAAGAAAAGTTAAAAATTGAAAAATTGATAAATCGAGAATTCAAAGAAATTGAAAAATCGAAAAATTTAAAAAAAGAAAAATTGGAAAATCGAAAATTTAAAAATTCGAAAAACTGAAATATAGAAGAACTGAAAACTCTATCGAAAAATCTAGAATTTTAAAAACTGAAATATTAAAACATTGAAAAATTGAGAAATCTAAAGATTAACGAAAAATTGAAAAACCAAAAAGTCGAAAAATAGAAATATTGAAAAATCTCATAAGTGAAAGAAATATCCAAAAAACTGAGAAATTAAAAAATTGGAAAATCGAAAAACTAAAAAAGCAAAGTCGAAAAATTGAAGAATTGAAACTTTGGGAAGTCGAGAAATAGAAAAATAAAAAAAAAGTTTCTTCAGAAATCGGAAAACTGAAAATTTAGAAACGTAAAAATTTGAACAATCGAAATATTTAAAAACCGCAAAATTGAACAACACAAAAATTGAGAAATCGAAAAATAAAAAATCGAGAAATCGAAAATTTGAAGAATGGAAAAATTGAAAAAGCCCAACATTGAAATGTTGAAAAATTGAGACATCGAAAGTTCAAAAATCAAGAAAACGAAAAGCCGAAAAATCTCAATAGCGTATTTATAAATTACAAGTTCAGGACTATGCTACTTTTTAACATTTAAATAACATTATAAATTGGAAGATGTTGATTTTTTTTTCCAAAAATCTTCTTGTCTAAGGTGAAAACTCAACACAGATGTATATTTGTTATCAAATAAAATAGTCTTATTATTATAAATGTTGGATATAATTTTTTTTTTCCCATTAGGTGCTCACTTGTGTAAACACTATTGTGTATTAACATGAATAAAGACATACATACATACATAAACTGTATAACGGATATAGTGTTGTAAAATTTGGAGATTGCCCCATCTCATTGTTGGTGATAAACTTTGGTGAGTGTTTTGATGAAACAATTTGAAATGTAAATTTTGACATTCGGTAACATTATGTATTAAATCGTTAAGATGTTCAAGAACTTTGTTCACTTATTCGTTGTAAAGTCCAATGGTCGAAACGGCTTAGTTCTTTGTAGTGGATGTGTAACAAATCAACTCTAACGAATGTCACCTTATAGATAAATCGCTTAGAGCCGATATTGGCCTGAGTGCGCTTTGGTCTGTAGATCAAACAAGTTCTCAGGTGACGAAAAATTGCATGGGTAGGGAAACTTCGGATTACGCGCCAAGAAAGTGATAAACTTATTTGCTGTCGCGAAGTGAAGAACACAATTTGTCCCACGCCCCCTGGATTCCTTGTCTCAAAGCTCACTATTTAGGCGAAGTAAAATTTGTATTAGGTTGTCTAACTATAATATACTTAAACAATACTATTATATAAACGTACCATTCATTGATAAAGTTTCTGCTTCTCGTTTATTTTCCCCATCAATTTGGTCTTGGTCCTTACTGGTGTCACATGCTCTATAAAAACCACAATTTAAATTGAGCATCAAATTTCAAATTAATCACATTGATTATAATTTCGGAGGCTTCCACGGTCGGAGTCAATACATGATCGTTTTCCGGGTTGGGACCGTGTTAATTGAGTTTTTGTGCTTTTGGAGCCGAAAAACTCAGTTAACACGGTCCCAACCCGGAAAACGATCATGCAATCACATTGATTCTCACTTTAAAAACACATCATTAAGAGTTGTTAAATCCATGTTGATGTTCTTAATTCCTAAAGTATTTTGATTCGTTTCCAAAGCTTCAATCACTTGTGCATACTTCGCTCCTTTCTTAAGTGGTAACAAATATACAATAGAGTCTTCACTGCTACGAATCTCTCTAACTTCCGGAAAATGGAATTTAACGGTTTTTTCTATTTCATTTTTATCACTATTTGTATCAAGTAACAAATTTAAGTGGTAACCAGTATCTAAAACATCGTCAAGTGTAAGGTGTTTGTGAGAATAAATACTCTACAAAGGTTTACTGTATTGTGTCTTCAAGTTTAGTGGTGTGTTGTAACATTGTAATCGACCATTTGCCATGATAGCTATCATGTCTCCAAGTACGTCAGCTTCTTCCATAAAGTGTGTTGTTATCAATATGGTTTTAGTTTTTCTATATTCCAGTAGCAAATTCCAGATTTTTCTACGTGATTCTGGATCCATTCCGGATGTCGGTTCATCCAAAATCAAAACCTATCAAAAACACATGGGTTATTTAAGAAAAGAGAGTTATGCAACAATAAAATATTACCTCTGAATTCCCAATTAAAGCCATTCCAAGACAGAGCTTACGTTTCATCCCGCCAGATAAGACGTTTGCCATTTCATTTGCTTTTTCCTCTATTCCAAGAATTTTTAACATCTCAATGGAATCGTCATCACGAGTTTTCGACCCTTTCAACTACAAAAAAATAAAATAAAATAAAAACGTCCACACGTTTTAGACCAGTACATACTCTTGCAAAAAACTTTAGGTGTTCCCTAACAGTCAAATCTGGGAAGAGGAGATTGTGTTGTGGACAAAGTCCCATTAGCTTTCTAACGTCATCTGTGTGAGTTTTAATGTTTTGGCCATTAATTAACACCGCGCCTTTTGTTGCGTTGATCATTCCTTATGATTTTACAGAATTAATTAATGTTATAAAAAAATTATACGCATTACCTGTTAGAATAGACATTGTCGTAGTTTTTCCTGCACCATTTTGACCTAATAACACTGTGATGCGATTTTTGTATATATCCATTGTTAAATCATCTACAGCCACATGATGGCCATATTTCTTATTAAGTTGAACAATTTGAATACACGGTGTTTGTGTTGATGTGCATCCCTTTTCTGGGTCTTGTAGTAATGTGTTTTCTGATGAGTTTTGAACCCGATGCTCAAGACATCGTTTCAGTTGTACAACACTTTTTTTTAGAAACTGAAACAGTTTTATGATCTATAAAAATCTACAAATTACATTTACAACTTAATTTGTAAATAATTAAATTTAGTCTACTATTGAATGGTCAATTACATAATGATCGTACTGTTTAAATACCATAAGCTTTAAAAAAAAACTTACAGAGACAAAATTGGTATACGGGAAATTATATGGTTTTGAAATTCCGTATTCTCCTGGTTTAACATTTTCAATGTAAAGTGTGAGCATCATGAATAATATCATGTCGAATATCAATGTTATAAACACATTTCCCATCGTTATATCGTTATCGTCTCCACTTCCTGGCTGGAAAATATTATTCCACTGAATACCAACCTCTGAAAATAATATTTTGTATAACTATAATCAATATCGAAATATAACTGCAACAACCTCTCATTTCGTATATTGATATAGAAGAGTATCCATAAGAAAGTGCCATATTAGGAAAAAGGGCGAAAGGCATTTTGTATTTCCACTGTAAAGCTTCACGGGAATTTATAAATGACTGTGGTACAAAGTATGAAAGAAGCCACAACAATATTCCGACTACTGTTGCCACGGATGCTGAAATAAGTTATAACAAAATATAGTAAGTACAATAACAATAACACTTATGTTAATTATGTTTCATTTATTTTATAATTCGATAATTAGTTAAGACAGCAGAATAAAAAAAAAACTGCTGACAACATGTACATGGAAAAACCCAAACGAAATTAATCAACCCTCTCATCCATGAAGTTCATTATTTAACATTTAATTTCTTCCGGAAATAAATACTTACGTGTGTTGAAAACACTAGCGATAAAAAAGCAGAAGGTTATAGCTGCCATACAGTACAAAAACAGGAATGTAAACAAAACGGTGCCATCTGAATGTTCTATTGGTGGATATGAGACTCCCCAAAACGGTACCTTCATTAATACCACAATTATTATGATGGAGAATGTGTTGGTCATCAAAGCATGTATAAACCACCCCAACCAAATTAAAGATGACTTCAGACCAATCATTTTCATATATTCCTACAAATTTTTATCCAGTAAGATAAGGAATTGCATAAAATATATTAGCGTGTACTTTAGTTCCTGAAAATTTTTCTTCTCCAACTCGTTGTAATACTGCCGGGCATAAAAATATAAAACTGAAAATAGTTACAATTGGCAAAAAGTGAACAAATAGTTGATTGACCCCGGAATCAACAGTGCGGGGTGGGTCTGGGAATTGTTGTAAAGAAAAATCTATCCTTTTATGTTCCTTTCCTTTATCCTTATCGAGATGGAACTCCATGAAAGACATATCTATGGCCACTTGTAACGCAGCAAAACCTTTATACATATAGCTAGACATTCCTGAAAACGTATTGTGTTTATTAAAAAACCACGAAAACTTTAGACACTTACTTCCTTCTTCCGGAGAGAACAAAGGTATAAATAATTTATCTGTGTTCCATCTAAAATATTTATCGTAAATTGTTAGGTCGTAGTTTAAATGATGTATATCGTTGACATCAAAATTAATAGCAGCAATCAGAGTTGTTGCGTTTTTTCCAAACGCTAACAACAGTTCACTGGTGGAATCAAACTCTTTTACACCTATAACATAATATGTTTGAAATTTAATGTTTTCGTGTTCCGACACAATTTATTACTATCTCCTCGTATTTGAAGTTTGTCTTGAACTTTATTTACTATCTCTCTTGTAAAATTCGTGCGTGGTGCATACCAAAAGTTCAGTTCGCCAACATCTAAATGAGAGTATATGTTGTCTGTATCAGTGACGTCATAGTATGTAGGTTCTTCGATATGAATTTTACTCATTCCACTAATTTTTGACCTTCCATAAGCCACCAAAGTAAATAGAATTATGGGGATTACGATTTCGCTAATAGTTAAAACCCAATGTCGTTTTCTGATTACTAAATTTTTCCATAATATTGTCACTAATTTTAGCCACATCATGGAGCACCTGCAATATATTGTGTATTAAACGTTAACTGTCGCATGAGTATTAAATTTTCTTATTCTACGCCACTGTGATTCTGTCTCATTTCTTTTATTATGTGCAAGATATCACGAGAAGGAAATAACAACATCACAGCAAAACAAAAATATTGTGCAGCAAAAGATCTAAAATATTTAAGGCGATATCACTCGGCCTGGTTTGGGACAGTTTTCATCCCATTTGAAATGTCCTGTAAAAGCGAGAGAAATTGACTTAGGACGATAGTTTTTTTTCTTAACAATTCTTATTAGACATATTTTGTCCCTCTTATATTAAAATTTGATTGTCATTGCTGTTACAACGTACAATTTGCAGTGCGAAAAAAATTAAAAAAAGAGGTGTCTACGAAGAACCTTTCTTACCAGATTGCATCAATACGTTTTTTAATAAGTGTTACACAATTCATATACAACGTCAGCTAAGTAAACGCTGCAGATGAAAAAATTGCTTCAAGTTTTCAGCTGTATCTACTGCGATCTCTGTCGTAGATTATGCAGGGTAAAATACCTACCCTGACAAAAGAGGCTTCAAATTTTACTCGTCTTGTATAACTCTCCAAGTTTCGATTCTTTCGTCATTTTGTCAAAATAGAAAATATTGGTGGAATTAAAAAAAAATCAGCACAATACATTCAAAATTATTCGAAAGCTATCGGTGTTTTATTTTTGATACTCAATGTAAATGGTTGAATTATAAAAATTGGTCTAAAATTATTTAGACAGCACTTTCCTCGCTCTTGAAGTGAATTTTATGGTTTCTCGACGTTTCTCCATTTTATAACACAATTTTTGGTTTCTTTATTTCCTTTATTTTTTTGTTGTTTCTTTCGATTTACAATTCTTTATTTATTCAATTTTTCAAATTTTCAGGCTTTCATTTTTCAATTCCATGATTTTCCACGTTTCAAAATTTTCAATTTGCAGTTTTTGGATTTCCAGTCTTCCAATTTTTCAGTTTTTTAATTTTCAATATTTTGATTTTACAATACATATTTCTTTTTCTTTTTCCCTTTTTCGAATTTTAAGTTTTTCAATTTTTAATCTTTCGATTTTTCAAATTTTCGTTTCTTCAAATTTCATGTTTGATTTTCACTTTTGACATTTTTCAAGTTTTCATCATAAACTTTTTCGGTTTTTTATTTTTGATTTTTCAATTTTACAGTTTCTTGACTTCTAAATTTTTCAATTTTTCGATATTACAGTTTCTCATTTTTCGATTTTTCACATTCTCAGTTTTTAATTCTTTTTTTATTTTTCATTTTCCCGATTTTTTTAATTTTCATTTTCTCGATTTAATGTCACAAATTTTCATTTTTTCAATTCCTTTATTTTTTGTTGTTCCTTTCTATTTTTCAAATTTTCGTTTCTTCAATTTTTCGAATTTTCAGTTTCTCAATTTTTCGTTTCCACAATTTTTCATGTCCACGATTTTTATTTTTCAGTGTGGCGAATTTTTAATTTTCATTTTCCCGATTTATATCACAATTGTCTGTTTCTTCATTTCCATTATTTTCTGTGTTTTTTTTTGATTTTACAATTTCTCATTTGTTCAATTTTTCAAATTTTCAAGCTTTGAATTTTCAGTTCGTCCATTTTTCAATTTTTAAATTTTTCACTTTGCAGTTTTTGGATTTCCAGTCTTCCGATTTTCCAATTTCTTTAATTTTAAATATTTCTATTTCATAACACATATTTCTTCTTCTTTTTAATTTTTCACTTTTTCGATTCTTAAGATTTTTCAAGTTTTCATTTTGTAATTTTTCGTTTTTTATTTTTGATTTTTCAATTTTACAATTTCTCGACTTCCAATACAAATTTTTCGGTTTGCACAAGTTTTTTAATTTGGCAATTTTTCAATATTACAGTTTTTTTTGATTTTCAGTTTTTACATTTTTCAAGTTTTTATTATACACTTTTTCGTTTTTTTTATTTTTGATTTTTCAATTTTACCATTTGTCGACTTGCAAATTTTCCATTTTTCCATTTTTACATTCTCGATTTTTAATTTTTCCCTTTTTCAATTTTTCGTCCCCTCAATTTTTCAACTCCCCGATTTTTATTTTGCGTTTTCCTGATTTTTTATTTTTCATTTTCTCGATTTTATATCATAATTTTTTGTTTTTTCATTTCCTTAATTTTTGTTGTTTCTTTCGATTTTCCAATTTTTAAATTTTTCAGTCTGCAATTTTTGGGTTTCCACCCCTTTTTTACTTTTTGGATTTTCAATTTTTCGTCAAACTTTAGATTTCTCAAATTTTCGACAGTTTTATACTTCGATTTCTTTTTTTTTTTCAACTTTTCGATGTTTTAATTTTTCTTTTTTAAAATTTTTCAATTTTTTTTATTTCTCGATTTATCGAATTCGGATGTTTGGATGTTTTGATTGCTGAATTTCTCAATTTATCAATTTCTCAAATTTTTTCTATTTCTCGATGTTTCGATTTTTGGATTTCACCATTTTCAGTTTTCCGATTTCTCAATTAATCTATTTTTTGGTTTTCCCATTTTCGACTTGAGAAGGTTTCAATGCTCAACTGTTGTGTAACAATTCTGAGTGATACCACCTTAACGAAATTTTATATATAAAACATTATATTAGTCCATTCCCATCAAAAAAATAATCGATGAATATGCGAAACGCTAAGCGCAATCGGTGATACACCTTATTTTGAAGTAGGTTACACGTACTTTAAATGATAAAAATATCGACACCATTTGGGAAATTTTGGTGATAACTTTGTTTGCCAATATATGACCCACAAAAAATACCGATGTTACTCCATTTCGGCACTTCAGATGTTGAAATACTTCCAAAACGAAATTTTAATTACACTTTAACATTAAAATTGTGTTATAACAACAACTGCTACATAACTTAAATAATACAAAACAATAATAAGTTTGTTGCAACTAAGGTCTTATTCACAACGGACACAAAGCATTATAGTTCAGAAAATGTCAATTTTCAAATCATTGCATGAAAACTGTCCAACTGAGGTAACACTAGGCATTTTTTTTTTAATCTTCGTTTAAGTAGTTCAGTTTGGTGTCACTGTAATTTTCTTCCACATTTAATAAGTGAAAATTGCAAATATTTTTGAAATTTATTTAAAAGCAAACTTGGATCCAAATTAAAGTTCTTGAAAAAATTACAACTACAATTCATCTTGGAAATCACAGAACTGATTGTTCAAAATGTTGCAAAATGGTTACCGTTGATCAAAAATTTGATGGCGTCGTCTCCAATGAGTTGTTCATTACTAATTTCATGTTGCTTTTAATAATATGTTTCTACCGATACGATACGAAGCGATAACGAAGCGATAAATGACAAGGACGAAAATATAAATTTCAGATATGAAAGAAAAAGAAGACCACATTTTATCGGTACCGATATTTTATCGTTATAGAAACAAAAACCCACCCCTGGTTGCATAAAAACCATTCTTCATCCACCAGATTATGTAACCAAAACTACATACTTAGTCATCCGTAAAACAAGAATAGTTACTGAAATTGTGGATGGAAACATCTGATATTTTTATCAAGACTTTATGCCACTGGTGTTAAAAGTGAATTACTTTTAACACTGGTGTTCAAGTAAGGTATAAAAGTGGTTTTATTTTGTTCGTGTGGTTAAGGAAGTCACTTCGTTCCCCAAACTTCTATACACGCAAAATAAAATCTCACTTTTAGCATTTATAACGGGTGTTCAATTGAAAAATCACTCAGAGTAGGCGTTGGAGTGTCATTTGACAGAAACGGCATGTCGGTTGTTATAACATATAGCATACAACGGGTTATGTTTCTGCCAAATGGGTGTTATAACAACAGACATGACGTTTGTGTCAAATGATACTCCAACGCCTACTTTGAGTGATTTTTCAATTGAACACCCCCTATCATAACTAATTCCACACTTAACACAAGGTATTAAAGCAACTTATTAGATTTGTATGTCACAATATTAATCTTTGCATTGGAAAACATGTGATATACCTATGATCATGATAAAAATAGAAAATGTGTTAATAATTTATCAAGTATGTATAAGCAAATTTGATATCTCTCGTAGCTTGTCAATAACCGTGATTTAGTAATAACAAAAGTGCAAGTAGGCCAAATATCGCTTATCTGTTTACACCTATTTAAGTCTGATTGTTTTTATCTTGATTATTGATTATGGAGGGCCTCGAAAAGGAGAGAAAACTGTTGAATTCTTAAACTAAAACAAACAATAATATACATACCGTAACGAAATTGTTTATGGCAATAGCATCAACAACACCTTTCAGTTCCTGGGGTGGAATTACTACAAGCTTCGTAATAATTTTAACAAAAAAACACTGCCATAATTGTTCAACAGTGACGATTGACCCAGGAAACTGTCAAGCGACGAAAATTGTAGGAAGTCCATACGCCACATCACGCTATGCACCATAAAAACCAACTTACGCACTATATTAAACTAAAATTAATAACTAAAATGGAAGTTGGACTACACTAAAACCTCACAAGTGGAGCATATTTGGACGAATATCACTCATTCGATTTTATACCTTATCGCTAGCGATAAAGTGACAAAGACAGTCAGGGATTTCACCGATGTGTACAGATAAGCACGTTATTCGTTTTACCCGTTTATCTGCTATCAAATTAGTACTATACAGACATTAATGACAGGAGCAAGGAGTCAATCACAAACACAACTGTCACTCTGTCATCGTTTAGCAATGCAGTGTGTGCGCAATGCGCATGACTAGGCGTAACGTATAAGCAGAGGTGATGTGATGTTGATGTTAGTGGTTACAAGTCCAACGCCTTGTATTGTTGGTTGTCTATATGGATTTTAATATAATTTTATTTATGACAGGCTGCCCACAACAGACCTTCAGCACAGAATAATCATTGTCACTATTCTTTTGAAAATTGTAATATTCGGAATAGTTCTGGAGGCTAGATAACAAAATATTAATTGTAATTGTTGTAATTTTTACAGCACAATAACTTTTTTAGTTTCATATTTAACAAAATTACAAAAACATCACTGTAACTGTTGTGTTTTTCTTTAGGGCGGTACAGCAGCCATTTTTCTTTAAGTTTAAGGGTGCCCAGTAGCAGACCGAAAAATGAGCTAAATAGAAGTTCATTTCACGGGCGTAATTTCAACTTTGAAAAAAAGATCGACATTTCAATTGATAGATTATGTCTAAATCCCTGGGGAAGACGCAATATTTTTTAAAATAAGTGATTGTTTAGTGTTTAATTAATCGTTCATTCTTCGAAGGAAATTCCATTTTTAGATGAAGAGAGAGCATGTTTCGTTTCAACTTTTATATCAGTGCAAAGACAACATTGAGCTCTATGGGAAAGAATCGGTCATTTTTGTTTAAAATTTGCTTTTTTAAAAAAATCAGTACAGGTCATAAAACTCATAAATACTCTTAGCCGACCAACATTGTTGAAACTCTTTTACAAGTCGACTTCTTTCATTGATACGTTCTACTAAAATATTTTCTTTCGAATATTTTTTAATAATCTGTCATTTTATACAGTTATGAATCAATACACAAAATTGACAAGATTAGATTAGATTCTCATCACTTCACTAACCAGTTATTTATCTGAACAATCACATTTACGTAGTTAAATTTAATTTTTTGATACTCTTCTCCGCACCACCTATGAGGTAAAGTATTACAGGGGCGTAGTATCTCCAGTGGACCTATTCCACTATTACTATTTATTCCTGCGAATGCAAATAAAATTTTTTAAATTTACAATTTTTTGTAGAATTATTTGTCTAATGGGTTGACTTCTTTTATAACGAGAATCTACTCTCTCCGGAAGTAAGGCATATAAATAGAATTTTTCTAGGGGCTCTATCATATTATATGGCCAAAATTTATCGTCTCGTTGAATTATGCAATATTTAATTTTTTTTTAACTAAGAATTAATTCTTTAATTGTGTTTGATACAAACAAAACGCCCTAAATTAGAAATACTAGTGGAACCGTAATCATCCAATAGATTTTTTTTCGGAAAGTAGAGTTATTTTTATGTTTTAGCAGAATTGTGTTCTATTTTCTATTAATTTTTGCATATTTTTAGTCACAATTTTGGTAGTTATTTTTTACTTTTACTTTTAGCATTCATAAATAATCCAAACATGAAAAAATCAAAAAAATTAAAATTGGAAAATCGGGAAATTGAAAAATCGAAACATCGAAAAATTGGAAATTCAAAAAGTTAAAAAAGAAGATGGAAAATCGAAAATTTTAAAAATTCCGAAAATTCAAAAATTGTAATTTAGAAGAACCGAAAACTCGAGAACTCAAAAATCTAGAATTTTAAAAATTGAAAAAATATCGAAAAGTTGAAAAATTGAGAAATCTAAATATAAAACAGCCGAAAATTGAAAAATCTAAAGTTTAAAAAACGAAAAACTGAAAATCGGGAAATCCAGAAGTCGAAAAATCGTAAGCTTATAAAATCGAAAAATTGAAAAATCAAAATCTTGAGAAATTGAAAAATTGAAACATCAAAAACCTGAAAAATCGAAAAATTGAAGAATTGAAGAAGTGAAAAATCGAAACTTTGGGAAGAAATGGGAAAATAAAAAAAAAGATTACTTCAGAAATCGGAAAACTGAAAATTTAGAAGCGTCAAAATTTGAAAAATTAAAAAATCGAAAAATAAAAAAATGAGAAATCTAAAAACCGAATAATCTCAATAATGTATTTATAAACCACAAGTTCAGGATTATGCTATAGACAAAACTGTTGAATTTCCTTGTCCACTTTGTTTACAAAAATAATTTGCACATTTAGACTGGTCCCCTAATATGTGGTTGGGGCCATTCAGGTTGTCATTTTTTAAATTAATTTTTTTTTGATACCAAGGAACGTTTTCGTTTTTTCTGTATCTTATATCTGGAAATCTAACCTTGAAGCGTTATATTCTGCCTCGATAACTTTGGCTAGGAAAAAATACGATCAACTGCAAGAACTGAAGTTGTTCGTGTTGGAAGAGTTTCAGTCATTTTAGACGAAATTACCATTTACAGATGGCTATCGAAGTGATGACAAGTTCGACGAGTACTTTTTCTTTTTTCTTATTTGAAATAAGTAACTCTTTTTCAGGGAAACATTGAGAGATAGACCTCAGTACCGACCATTCAAGTTGGACTTAGTTCATTTTTTCATACAATATTGGAACAGACGATTAAACAATTGCATTTTCTTTTTTACTGTTATATTTGGGCATAAACAGTTTATTTTATATATTTTTAAAACATAAAGAAAATAAAAAATTGTGTTAGGCTGAATCTTGTGGGTTTCTCAATCTATTTTCTGCAGCGTTTTAAACTTTCAACTCAATTTCTTTCAAAATACATTCAAATGGACTTCGATCGTTATTCCCCTGTACTCTTTATTTGGAAATAAATAAGCTTATCTGGTGTTGTTTACAAATTTGCATTTTATGACGGACTGCCTACAGTGACCATAATTTCAAATTTCACCTTTCTTGGGTCGGTACCTGCGGTGGGTTGGTACTTTGGGTTGCCTAGTTACAAAAAATAATTGTTCTCACTGGAACCGATTTTGTACTCGACGACTGGGGGCACCCTTAAGTTTAATGATTTACTTAAAAAAAATTGAACTAAAATTTTACAACCGTGTAGTATGTTAATGCAGTAACATTTTCATTAAGTCACACATTAAAATACCAGCAAATCTGCAACTCTAGGAAGTAACAGATTCATTTTTTCATTGATACTAATATGTTTATAGATATTTCTATTTAAAAACTATTAAATTTAGGCAATCCATTCCGCATTAAGTTTAAAATAAAAAATCATCCCTCAAGTCGAGAGCGGATTACTACGGACAAATAATCTCTAGGTATAATTTGCACGTACCTACCTAATTTGTACACAAAATTTTGATGTACTTTCTTTATATTCAACCACTGTAATTGAAAGAGTCGTAGGAGAGTGTAGTGTCAAAAAAATAGTTGAAAATTATTTCGACAGAACTTCTCTAATCCTCTTAAATTATAGTCGAACAAATACAACTTCGAAAAATTATTATCAACTTTAACTTTGAGAATTCTTTTTTTATCGTTTCTATATCTTTATAGTATTTATAGTACTATTGATAGACTCCTTAGAGTTTTGACACCCTTGGAATCCTCGAAATCTTTGAAACTTTCACAATATATTTTCACAAATTCGTTAAAATGTTTAAAATTTCTAGAATTGAGTACATTTTTGAAATATTCAAAAGTTCCACATTTTCTAAATGTTATAAAAACATCAGTCTTCGGATATGGCAGAATTCAACATTTTCCTCGGTTTTCAAGATTTCTAGGTCTTCCACATTTTTCACACTTTCTAGACATTTCCAGATTTTCTAAAATTAATAGACCCAGAGAATGGAATCTTTGAAATTTTTGGAATATCTGGAATCTTTAGAATCTCTGAGATGTATAAGATGATAATTAGGGTGTTCAAGACCCCTAGTACTTATGATTTTTAGATTTTTAGGATTTTTGTTTTGTTTAGAGTCTTTGGAATCTTTAAAATTTTTGTCATGTTAAAAGTTCATGCATTTTTTACAAATTATAGAATCTTTGAAATATGTATTTGGAACAGGATTTTAAAGATCTTGTTAATGTTTGAGCCCTTAGACTATTTAGAATCACAAATCGCAAATTCTAGTGTGTATGAAAACTTCAAGATTTTTAGAATGTGTCGAGTCTTTAGAAATTTTGAAAGGTTTGGAACCTTTTAAATATTTCAAACATTTGGAAACTTTGGAATTTTTAGAACGTCTACAATCTTAAGATTTTGTAAACTTTTGAAATTTTGGGATTTAATATTTTTTTATTTTCTTTTATTTTTTGGGAATCTTCGTAATTTGCAAAATTTTCAAAATTTCTAGAATGTTCAGATTTTCCAGATTAGCCCAATTATTCAGAATTTCCAAAGTGTACAAAATGACCTAAATTTACACATTTTCCAAAATTTCTAAAATTATCAGGCTCCAGTTATACTAGAATTTTGAAATTCAACCTTTTTCAATATTTTCAAGATTTCTAGATCTACCACATTTTTCCCACTCTTTCTAAATCTTTTAAGATTTTCTAAAATTTATAGATCTCGAGAGTCCAAATCTTTGGAAGTTTTGGAAGTCTTGGAATCTTTACAGTTTCCAAGATTTATAAGATAATAATTAGCGTGTTCAAGGCCTTCAGTGATTTTACGATTTTTAGGTCTTTCAGTTTAGTTAAGTTTCGAAAATGTCAAAATTTGGCCGAAATTTGAAGAAGGGGGGACCACTGCAAAATTTTCAATTTAAAAAAAGTTGTCTAAAAATTGTGAAAAAATTCAAGGACGTAGATCTCGACATGCTGATTCCAAAAATATAGGGTGTTGATGGTCACGGAGCAACATTTTCGAAATAATCGGTAAGAAATGCGAATTTTTGAAAATTTCAAAAATTTTCGATATTTCAACGGTCGATTCCGGAAAAACGGTTGCACTTATCAAAGAAACGATGCCGGAAGTGAGTTCTAGAGCTCGAAATCTACAAGAAAATATCTTTAGTTAAGTTTCGAAAATGTCAAAATTTGGCCGAAATTTGAAGCAGGGGGGACTATTGGAAAATTTTCACTTTTAAAAAAGCTGTCTAAAAATTGTGAAAAAATGCAGGGACGTAGATCTCGACATGCTGATTCCAAAAATATAGCCTGTTGATGGTCACGGAGCAACATTTTCGAAAGAATCGGTACGAAATGCGAATTTTTGAAAATTTCTAAAATTTTCGATATTTCAACGGTCGATTCCGGAAAAACGGTTGCAGTTATCAAAGAAACGAGGCCCGAAGTGAGTTCTAGAGCTCGAAATCTACAAGAAAATGTGTTTGAAATATGTATTTGGAATAGAATTTTAAAGATCTTTTTAATGCTTGAGCCTTTAGAGTATTTAGAATATTCGAATTTTCAGAGTCCTTAGAGTTTTAAAAATCCTTGGAAATTTGGATACTTTAGAATTACTAGAAATTTTATAAAGTTTATAATTTTTCCAAGATATTTACAATTTTTAAGATTTTGTTGGATATTTCTTCTATTTAGAACCAAAAACTTTAGTTTATCTAACACCTTTGGTGTCTTTACAATTCGCAAATTCTAGTGTGTATGAAAACTTCGAGATTTTTAGAATGTGTCGAGTCTTTAGAAACTTTGAAAGGTTTGGAACCTTTTAAATATTTCAAACATTTGAAAGATTTGGAATTTTTAGAATGTCTACAATCATAAGATTTTGTAAATTTTTGAAATTTTGAGATTTAATATTTTTTATTTTCTTTTATTTTTTGGGAATCTTCGTAATTTGCAAAATTTTCAAAATTTCTAGAATGTTCAGATTTTCCAGATTAGCCCAATTATTCAGATTTTCCAAAGTGTACAAAATGATCTAAATTTACACATTTTCCAAAATTTCTAAAATTATCAGGCTCCAGTTATATCAGAATTTTGAAATTCAACCTTTTTCAATATTTTCAAGATTTCTAGATCTACCACATTTTTCCCACTCTTTCTAAATCTTTTAAGATTTTCTAAAATTTATAGATCTCAAGAGTCCAAATCTTTGGAAGTTTTGGAATCTGTGGAATCTTTACTGTTTCCAAGATTTATAAGATAATAATTAGGGTGTTCAAGGCCTTCAGTGATTTTACGATTTTTAGGTCCTTCAGGTTTTTGTTTTTTCTTTAAATCATTGGAATTGTCTTTGGGAATTTCTCTAGAGCCTTCAAAATCTTTGAAATAAGTATTCGAAATTGATTTTTAGCTTTTGCCTTTAAAATCTTTTTTGTTTTATTGACAAATTTGATACCATCAGGTTAAAACACCAACATTATTATTTTTATCAAATTCAAGGACAATTGCATATTATTACTAGAAGACAAATTTTTAGCAAAATTTTCGTTATTTCTACCAACGCAGATCTTTAATGAGAAATCATCAGAAAGATGATAATTTTTGGGAAAATCATATGAGCCTAAAATTAGAAAAATGTTATTTCTCATCATTACTAGGGGATTATTAGTTGTGAGGTAAGAAATGTGGGTTGCAGCAATCCGAAAATGCCTGGAAAGTCGCTTCCGTAAATTTTAGTTGCGCTCCTATCGGCAAGATCCTGAACTAACAGCTCAAATTCTGTCGATTTTGATAACCATTTTTTTTTCAATAATTGTTAGTTTTTATTAAAAACTCTGCTAAGAAATATATAATTAATTTTCCTCTGACTCTCCCGTTAAAATTATTCGACGCATTTTGCATTAATTTGTGCTATATTTTGATTTTAATAAATACATTATTATTTAAATAAATTGTACCAGTAACAAACATTTAATGACTCTGCGGTCTGTAAAAAGTGATGCTTTGTCAATGTGAGAATTTTCAAGTGATTCTATGATGATTATGACCCAAAAAATGAAAATAAAAGATACAATGGTGCTTTTTTACGATATTTCCAAGCCATATTTATTTAGTTGTATGTTAGTTATCACTTTTACGCACTGTTATTGTAAGTAAACAATAAGTTACAAAAACGTGTTATTTAGTATAAACACAGTACAATGGAAAAACAAACCTACTTGGTGATGTGTGAATTAAAAATGAAATGATAAACTCAAAAGATGTTCAGCTCTTCTATACGTTAGGAAAAATTATGTATGAATACTGGTCAACATATTAAAAAAAAAATACATACCCAAAAATAAGAATGGACTCCAAATATGAAGAAATATAACTTGTTAAACCTTTCTACTTATTGGTTTTTCGCTAATTGATTGTTTTTTCACAAAATCAATTTTTTGGAAGCAAATGTTATTTAAAACTGGTTTTATCACTAGTTCAATGATCACTTTTGAAATTTGTTCTTTATGTTGTTCATAATCATAAGTAAGTAAAATGACGTTTATGCACCCTGTTGTTGTAGGTATTAGGAAAATAAATAAAAAGTCAGAACAATAATCGTAGTCATTTAATTCGAAGCTGCCATTTAAAAAATAATTTATTTTATGCTACATTGTTCCGCATACATGTATTTAGATTTTCCAATAATTTACATCATAATTATGAATATTACCCTTAGAGATTTGTTGAAAAAATACAGGCAACTTCAGCAATACTGATTGCGGAATGTTAAAAATAAGATTTTTTGTAGGAAAATATACCTAGTTAAAAAATAAATAAAAATAATCTAGGTACGCCATTCTTATTTGACGTTTGGTATATTTACCTACAAGAAAATTAACAAAATACTAGACAATAATACAAAATATTTTAATTATTTTTCAATAAATTATATAATGAGAGAAATGATGAATTATTTTTTCCAGCCTTAAAAATAATTCTAAATTTAAATGACGTGAAATAAATAAGTAGTGGCGGCGGTGGTGTATACACAAAATGTATAAATTACAAACAATTTAATACTACTAGAGGAATATTGAAAGATATATGTAATATGTTGACGTGGTGCTTCCATGTGAATTCTACTACTTAAGCTACTTTCTTTGGTCGAATTAATTTAATAACCAAGATCTCTGGGGCTCAGATATAGCTAGCGCTTAGTGAAAAAATATAAATATAGGAATACTTGAACAAAATATCAGACCAAATAAAGTAGTCAAGTGGTCACAGAGATACAAGAAACAAAAATCCTGTCAAAATATTTAACATAAATATCTCTGAATCTTTTATAAAAAATCTGCTCACGTATTCTATTACAAAACTAAAAATTGTTTGTCCAGGTATCGCCCTATAAACTATATATTTTGTACTATGTAAAATGGTCAGCCCAAAGTTTTTGAAATACTGTAGATTGCAGTTTTGTAATAAATAAAGCTACTTTTTTAAAAAGATCCAGCTAGTAAATGTGGTTTAATTTAAAGACTAGACTCATTTCGATAAATATTCGATCATTTTCCGATATTTTGGCATCTCTTCGTTGAGCAGCAGAGATTCGACGCACCCTACGAAGTATTTTGTGGAGAAACACTCGGACCTAAAATACAACAAAACCAATTAGTCTATATAATATTACAAGTCGTCAACGCATGCACGAGTTTAGTCATGATGAAGAGTTGCACCTCAAAACGCTGCTCAAAATATCAAAAATACATCCCTGTTTTCACTGATTAAAGTGCAAAAGTGGGAATAAAAAATAAAACTAGAAAAAGATGCTCTAAATAAAAAAACAGAGCTTTAAAAAAAGTGCAACTTGAAGGGAAAGGGTCAGAATTAGAAAGGACGGTTATGTGGTTAAATGATCTAAAATAGTATATTAGAATGTTAGAAACTTAAAAGGGGTGCAGTGTACCTAAACCCCCCAGCTCAGCTCCACGTAATTGTTTTATCCAAACTTGAATTTGTGCCTCTTCGTCGGAAAGCTGTAAAGTTTCAACGCATCCCTTGAAGTAATCTGTCGTGAAACAGTTTTTCCTGTAATAAAATTATTTCAGAGATATTATAAGACACATTTTGTCGGTACCTATTAAATATAGAAAATCTGATCTATTAGAAGCATTTTTATTAGGTGCTATTGAAAGCACTCATGATTTTACGGTAACGCTAACATGGACGTGAAACGACATAATTATAATAGCGTCATACTCTTTTTACAGTCCAAACGCCCATTCTTGTATAATTACAATGTCCATAATGTGTAACTGCTTCATACCGCACGGTCTTGTGTAACAATGAGAAATAATACAGTTGGGAAAACTAGATTTAAAATTTGGATCAAAACCGATTTCAAAAATATTGAATACAGTGTCGTTTTCGGTGCAGAGATTTAATTACTTTCAAAATTCTCAATCAGTAGGAGGCTCTCACGACATTCCTTCCCTCTTACTCATTTCATATCGTTATCAGAAAAAATGTTCAATTTTCTCACGCTAAATTTGATGATAGCAATACATACTATATCAATACGCAGCTTCCCGAATTATAAACCGGAAACAATGATAAAGTTCCTCCAGCTGCATATATTGTTTTTAATTTAATAGTCTGTACTGGATTGTTTTTTACCTGCATAAGTTATGGAGTTGAGGTTCTCGAAATAGGTTATAGCAGTCTTCACATATGCTATCCAGTTTGGCGAATATACTTTTGTCATAGACACCTTTACACTGAATGTCGAAGAAAGATCGTTTCGTGAAGTGGTGTGGAAGTAGAGCTGGCGATCTGTTAGCAGGGCTGGTTGCAATTTCTTGAAGAATGACTGCAAACGTTATGTACACCCACACTGCTTGAGTGCTAATACGCCTGGATGATCGGTAATTCATCTGGAAATAATAGAGGTGCTTAAGTACACAGAATTATCACTATTTTGGATATATTTTTTTAATTTTATGTCCGCACACCCATTGACAATTAATCCAAATCTCCAAATTTAAACAATAACATTAAAAAATTAAAGGACAAACAGCTTTCACTATTTAAGTTAGGTTTTTAACATGATGACATTGTAGTAGACGTTTTATAGTACATCACATGGTAATTTCTCATAGAAAAATAAGTATTTTACAATTAAGCACCGCCCCTTGGCTTACGACGAATGAAAAAATCCATCAGAATTGAGATAGGGCGGATACATACGTTTTTGCAATTATGAGGCGGAGCCTAATTGCAAAATCGATACTTCCTTATACAAATTTTCCATTTTAAACACGTTGTGAAAAGAAGTCTGCAAATATTAAAACAAAAAGGCAAAATGGAAAACCCACCCACCCACCCTATCTCAATTGTGATGAATTTTTTATTCGCCTTGAACCAATGGGGCGGAGTTTAACTGCAAAATTCTTATTCCTTTACAAGAAATTAAAAACATGCTTTTGAGTATCGTGTTGTTCAAAGAATACTATGTATATTAAGAAAACGCGGCAAAATAAAAACCCCGCCCGCCCACCCCATCTCAATTCTGATGATTTTTTTATTCTTAGAAACTTTAAACACGTTTAAAATGGTAAATTTTTGTAAGGAAATATGGATTTGGCAATTAGGCTCCGCCCCTAGGTCTGTCAACGAATGAAAACTTCACGATACTTACACACATGTCTTACATGGTAATTTCTTGTAGAGAAATAATAAGGATTTTGCAATTAAATTCCGCTCTTTTGACTTTCGACGGTTAAAAAAAATCATCACAATTGAGACAGGGGGGGTGGGCGGGGCTTATATTTTGACCATTTTTTCTTAATATAGGAAGTCTTTTTTTGGCAACAAGAAACTGAAAACATGTTTAACTATCCTGTTGTTGAGAGAAAACTCTATACTTTAAAAAAAACCTTAAGCCCCACCCACCCGCCCCAATCTCAATTGTGACGAATTTCACATGGTAATTTCTTGTCGAGGGATGAAGATTTTGCAATTAAACTTCGCCCTTCAGCTCACGATGAATAAAACATTCATCACAATTGAGAAGGGGTGGGTGGGCGGGGCTTATATTTTGTCCATTTTGTCTTAATATACGTAGTCGTCTTTTAAGAATAAGAAACCTAACACATGTTTAAAATAGTAAATTCTTGTAGAGAAATATGGATCTTGCAAGCCCCGCCTCTCGATCTGACAACGAATGAAAAATTCATCGCAATTGAGAATTGAGATCGGAGCGGGCATGGGTGGGACCTAATCTTTGGCTTTATTTTTTTCTTAATATACTTGGTCTTTTTTAAACAACACGATACTCAGAAACTTGTTTTTAATTTGTCGCAGAGAAATAAGGATTTTGCAGTTAAGCTCCGCCCTCTTGACTCACGACGAATAAAAAAATCATTACAATTGAGATAGGGTGGGTGGGCGGGGCTTATATTTTGACCATTTTTTATTAATATACGAAGTCTTCTTTTGGCAACAAGAAACTGAAAATTTGTTTAGAAAAAAAAAAAAAATTAAATTAAAAAAAGATTAATTTTTTATTCATTGTTAAATCGAGGGGAAAACGTAATTGCAAATATATTTCTCTGTTGATTTGAATGAGTTTCTCAAAACAAAGAACTAAACGTAAAATTTTCAGTTAAGCTCCGCCCCCTTAGCTCACAACGAATAAAAAAATCTTCAGAATTGAGGTAGGGTGGGTGGGCGGGGCTACATTTTGCCTTTTTTCCTTAATATTTCTTCCCCAAGTTTCAAGTTTTCACTTCTTCAATTCTTTAATTTTTCGATTTTATAAGCTTACAATTTTTCGACTTCTGGATTTCCCGATTTTCAGTTTTTCGTTTTTTAAACTTCAGATTTTTCAATTTTCGGCTGTTTTATATTTCGATTTCTCAATTTTTCAAGTTTTCGATATTTTCATTTTTCAATTTTTAAAATTCTAGATTTTTGATTTCTCGAGTTTTCGGTTCTTCTATATTTCAATTGTTTAATTTTCGGGAATATTAAAATTTTCGATTTTCCATCTTTTTTTTAACTTTTCGATTTTCCAATTTTTCGATGTTTTGATGTTTCAGTTTCCCGATTTTTAAATTTTAGATTTTCCAATTTTATTTTTTTGAATTTTTCATGTTTGGATTATTTATTAAGTAAAAAATAACTACCAAAATTGTGACTAAAATATGCAAAAATTAATAGAAAATATGATATATGATAGAATATATAATATGATAGGGCCCCTAGAAAAATTTTATGTATATGCCTTACTTCCGGAGATAGTAAGACAAATTCTAAAAAAAATGTAAATTTAAAAAATATTATTTGCATTCACAGGAATATATAGTAATAGTGGAATAAGAGATACCATTGAACCGTTGATTGAAACGGATCCTTTGTTAAGATAAAACTGATTTTGCCCTTATTAATCTTGTAAAAACTTCTTTTTTCTTTCAAATTCTAAAAAAATAAAACACCAGTGGTCTCACACGTTTTTTAAACTTTTTCAAAACAAAACCTCGACAGTAGGAACCTTGAAATTCTTTCAAATTCTTTTTCTATTAAGATCTTAAAAAAAGAACACTAGGGCACTTCAAGATTCTTTCAAATTCTTTAGGAAAGCACTGGAGATCCTAAAGGTTCTTTTAATTTCTTTTTAAACAGAACACCCGGGACGGTATATTTTTTAAATTTCTTAAAATCAGATATACAGGGGACTTTCTTTCAAATTCTTTCAAAAGTAAAACACCAGTGGTCTCATAGATTTTTTGTCCTTTTTCAAAAACAAAACCTCGACACTAGGAACCTTGAGATTCTTTCAAATTCTTTCAAGAAGGACCAGAAATCTAGAAGGTCCTTTTAATCTTTTTCAAAAATCATACACCAGACGTCCCAAACGTTCTATTAAGATCTTAAAAAAAAGAACACAAGGGAACTTTCGGATTCTTTCAAATTCTTTAGAAAAGCACTGGAGATCTTAAAGGTTCTTTTAATTTCTTTTTAAACAGAACACCCGGGACGCTATATTTTTTAAATTTCTTAAAATAAGATATACAAGGGACTTTCTTTCAAATTCTTTCAAAAGTAAAACACCAGTGGTCTCATAGATTTTTTGTTCTTTTTCAAAAACAAAACCTCGACACTAGGAACCTTGAGATTCTTTCAAATTCTTTCAAGAAGTACCAGAAATCCAAAGGTCCTTCTAATATTTTTCAAAAATCATACACCAGACGCCTGAAACGTTCTATTAAGTTGTTTAAAAAAAAGAACAAAAGGAACTTCCAGATTCTTCCAAATTCTTTAGAAAAGCACTGGATATCTTCAAGGTTTTTTTAAATTTTTTTCCAAAACAGAACCCCTGGGACCCCTCATTTTTAAATTTCTTAAAATAAGATACAAGGTATTTTTTTTCAAATTCCTTCAAAAAGTAAACACCAGTGGTCTCATGGATTTTTAAATCTTTTTCAAAAACAAAACCTCGACACTAGGAACCTTGAGATTGTTTCAAATTCTTTCAAGAAGGAGCAGAAATCCAGAAGATTATTTTCATTTTTTTCAAAAACCATACACTAGATGCCCCAACCGTTCTATTAAGTTCTTAAAAAGAAGAACACTAGGGCACTTCCGGGGTCTTTCAAATACTTTAGTTTCACGTTATATTCATTATTCAATATTTTTTTAAAAAGCAAATATTTTGATAAATATAAATTTTAAACAAAAATGACCGGTTCTTCCCCATAGAGCTCAATGCAGTCTTTGCACTGATATAAAAGTTGAAGCGAAACATGCTCTCTCCTCGTCTAAAAATTGAATTTCCTTCGAAGAATAAACGATTAATTAAACACTAAACAATCCAATTTATAAACATGTAAAACCAGGTGTAAAAACTTAGACTGCTGTAATTAAAATAAAAATTAAATGTAATCTAAGATTCCACTAGCTTTTTATTACTGAATTAAATAACAACTATTTCAAGGATAACTACGAAAATTGTTATTATTTTCTTTTATTACTACCTATCTACCTGCATCGTTCATGGGGTTATTTGAACGACATCAAATGGAAAACAAATGGAAATAAATCTGTTCGCAGTATGGCAAAAAAAGGTCCCAATTTACGTTTTAGTGACGTCGCGTTTTCGACAAAAAACTAAAAACCTTGACGTTCTTGTTCCCTTTGTCTGTTGTACTCTATCATTATTAAGTTTGTATCTATTATCTAACAAAGGTTACCTACTTCTACTAATCATGCAATATAGAATACTTCAAGTGCTACATTTAATAAATGAATTGTGTTAGTTCTAATATTTGTATGAATATTTTCGTTGTTTCAGTAATTTTTTTTTAAATGGTTGTTATAAAATGCCGCAGGTAGTGGCGTTGCAATCGGGAAAATCAGATACTTGTTATTGGTTGGTGGTCTGTGTCGACTGGTTGAGATGAAGTCATAACTTTACTTTTTGTGCACCCGCAGATCTGTGATTATGAGCGATCATTTATTCGTTAACAAGCCGCCTTTGAGAGCATGTGATTTGAGAGAAAGAACTACCGCAAATCATCAGGTAACGAAAATGAATACCTTATTTATGAGCTCTACTCAGAAATAATTTTAATATAATAGTAACGAATACATTGAGCTAAGAATAACTACAGTCGAATTATTAAATTGACGCTACATACTAGTTTAGCACGGACAGTGAATGTTACTATCAAAGTGACTAGTAAATTTGGAGAAATCTAGTTTTCTAGCGATTGTTGTTTGATGTGATAAACATTTATATGTTCTAAATTATGACGTACCAAGCGCATACTTTATTTCTTTTTTGTCATTTTTAGATCTCTAACAAAAAAAAAATAATACAGTTTCATAGAATAAATGTTTTTGAGTACATTTATATCTTTTCTTTCATTAAAAA